ATTCATTCCTTTGCTATCAACATAATTGTGCAGTTCTAAATATGTCATACATCGTTCATAGGTTCGTGTCATATATCGTTCGTTTATACGTTTTACACGTGTAACACGTGTAAAACGTACGTGTAACACGTGTAAAACGTATAAACGTGTATGCTTACATCTGCATAAAATATGTTTGTGAGCACAACCGTTTATGTATAAATAAATGAATAGACATGCTAGAAAAATTTGATTTGAATCAAATGACAATTATCAGAATATTGCTGATTGGATCGTTTATTAAAAATGAAATTCATTAATCGTAGAGTTATTTTATTGTCAAATGAATTTAAAAATAAATCAAAAAGGTACGAACAAGAATATCAAACAAAGTTAAACAATTAATTTGTATTGAAAGAAAAATAATTTAACGATTTTATACTGTAAAATCCTTTTTTCATTTTTTAAATAAATTTCAGTTAAATTTTATTTTATTGGAAAAAAGAAAAACTTACCAGTTGTTTTCAAAGAGAATTTTTCTTGACAGCTGTGCAAATTTTCGTCTTTTTTTTCTGTTTTCTTTTTCTAGTAAAAATTTAAAAAGGAAGAGTAAAAATCATCATCCACTTCACCATCTGTTCGATTGAACGAAAGCAATGATATTAAAGAACCTAAAAAGGTATATAAGGAAGAAAGCGGATGAGAAAAAAGCGGGGGAAAAAATGGAATGAAATGAAGAACCTGAAATGGGTAAGCTTATTTATTGAAGAATCTTGAAAAGAAGGGTCATTTGTTATTGTAATATACGGTATTGCTTTAAAAAGTATCCTAAACAAGTGAGATGTTAAGCTTGAAGTGGAACTAAAAAAGATGCCGCAAATGACGATGATGATATGGTACTGATGTGTTCTCCCCCGCGTCATCCCAATTCCTTTCATTTACCCTCTCCTCCTTTCTCCCTTCCCCCACCCGTTAAGCTTTCATTCAAACATTTCAAATCTCATCTTTTACTTCCTGAACGATAGGAATAAATATAGGTAGATGTAGAGAATGAGAAGATAGCGCCATCATGTCGTCTCATACATGATCTGATTAGATCAGATCAGGATCGGTTAGTGGACGGTCAAGAAAGGTGAGTAAACCCGAGTCACTTAGCGGATAATCCGTTGCTAAACTGTAATCATTTAAAACGCTTTCCTTTTTCTTCATTATTGCTAAATAAACATTAAAGAATGATTGTTATTTATTAATGCTATAAATAAAACTTACTTTAGTCTAAAATAAATGAAATCAATTGTTTTAAATTAGACAGAAATTAATGAATTGTTACATTAAATAATTTTGTACAAAAAGAATGACATAAATTGCATTTTATACTTATATAATTATATTTTTAATTTATGTAATCGATACTTGACATTGTGTCTCTTCTTCTCTTCCTTCATTTTCATCTTTTAATATAAATCAGCAATTTCTTTCATTCTTCTTTTAATAGAAAGCAAATAAGAGGGAATGAACATATAATAAAATTTGAAAAAATGATGAAATAAACTCATCATGATTGGCAAAAGAAAAATTGGAATTAAAGTAACGAAATAACTAAATTGATAGTTATTGTATTTATGATTAAATTTTCATCATTTATTCCATTTCAAGTCTTCAAAAAACGAAAAAAAAAGGATGAATGGATGAATTTTTTTCTTTCCAATTGCACAATTATTTGTAAAAATTTTAAACCACGCAAATATATGATAGCCTAGCAATATTATCATAAGAGAGGAAAGCTAAAGGTAAAACGATTATCTATGCATATGGTAATTATAAAATCAAAGCATTCCAAATTAATGATATACCCACTTATCGCGTTCTCTTTGCAAAGAGATAATTTAATTTAATGATTTATTCATGTAATTAAATGCACAAATGAATGAATATTAATTAATTACTAATTTAAAAATACTCGGAAAATCTAAAAAGAAAATTTCGACCGTTCACTTTCTTTTCCCCATTTCCGTTGTTTTTTTTTATTTATTCTTATTTGTTATCATCTTTTGTTATCATTTATTATTAATTTTTACCATCTTTCTGATAAGATATTTCAAAAAATTTATAGATTGATTTCTTTTTTTTCTTTTTTTTCATTCCATTAGCTTTTAATTGAATTTGAAAGACAGAAAGAAAAATTAGTTTCTAATTGGAAAAAAATCGGACAGGAAAATGATTTCAAGCTATTTGAATATATTAGTGCATAGATTAAACTGTAGTACAAAATGCTTGATCACATATAAGGATGATCAAGTATTATGTATCACAATTGACGGACTTCACGTACGTGTAAACAGAGTAATTCAAGCGATACTAAAAATGAATTTGCAAAAATAATACAATCAGTTAGATGAGAAGGAGGGCTTTGCTACAATTGCTACCGTAAACACACCTTCCCGTACTGTCGCATTCTAACATGTCACCAACTCGTTTGTCCATCTATACCGTTCATGACCAATTTACAAATTACGATATATCCGTTGGAAAAAAACTTCAAAGTAATTTTGTAGGATAGTTCAAACAGGTATACAAGTGTTGTTCTACTCAACTTTCTAGATCCTCGCATCCAGAAAAAACCATCGATACAGTGGGGGAACTAAAGTAATGCATTTCTATATACCTAATAAAATCAGTGATTTCCAGACGTTACCAGTTTTATTCTTCAGAAAAAAAAGAACAACACCTCCCAGTACATGTTTTAGGTACTCGACCTGGTTTCCTCTATTCTCGGTAGCTTATTAGAAATGCAAAAATCATTCAAATAGTTCAATCCATTAATTCAGTAATCACATTTGAAATACGCTTAGCCAAAAAATCTCAAAAAAAGAAAAAAGGAAAAAAATAAAAGTGAACAGGACTAACCCAAATAATGTGTATATGCGAAAGAAAACGAAAAACGATCACAAATGTAAATTTCCTTTACTTCTATAAAACATTATCATATCATATCATACAACAACAAAAGAGAAACTCTGTTTACAATACTTCTTGATTGTTTGTTGTTTCAGAAGTAAACAAGATATGGATAAAAGAAAGAAAAACAAATGAATGTAATTAGCAATAACTTCGAGCAATTTAGTTTAATCCATCAAAAATTAAAACATATGCAAAAATAATGGAAAGCAAAAGAAAAAAAAATCTAAGAAAAAATGGCACGAAATACCTACGATTAAATCTAAAATCACCATGCAATCTAAGTTAAATTAAAAAATTTTTTTTCGACACAATTTTCCCACCTTCCATAAATTCTTTACCCATTCCTATCACCTATTACTGCTCATTATTAACAAAATATATCTGGCTAAATATGAATGGATTAAAGGAGGGGAAAATAGGCCGAGTAATTTTTCGAGCTTAAAATTACAGATTAAAAGAATTATGCTTTTGATGAGGCAGGTATACAACAATTATTAACACTTTCAATACTACCTGAACAACCAACTCCTGCCCAGACACTGTTACGGGCAAAACAAATGCAGAAGATGGGAAAATAATTTTCTCATATCTTAGGTAAAACATGTATAATTTATTAAAATAAATTCACATGAAATAAATATACCTCGCTGATAATGCCGCTAATAATTTACTATGAAAATAATTTGCTAATCAAACACCGCTAATATGGTAAATAAAATGATTTGAAAAAGGACATACAAACAAGTTAATTGTTAAGTAAATTATCAAACTGAACAAAAAAAAAAATGATAGCCAGAAAATTGATAAAGCTTCCACCAAAGCATTCAGTTAATATCATTTCAAAAGGATACACATAGTAATATACAAATTTTCAAATGATACTTTTTTTTTCACTCGAAGAATTTTGATGAATTTCTTTGCCTTTCAAATATTTACATCATTCTTTTTTATTTTTCTTCTTTGCTTTCATGATAACAATTTATGCTATAAATGTGTTTACTTGTTGTTAATGGCAAAATAAAAAAGAGAAAAGAGAGCCAAATGATTTAACGTTATCCATTTAAATCAAACGATAATTAAAGCCAGTGATAATAAACTTTCAAATAATTTGCGCTTAATTTCAAATTTAAGGCAATTAATTTAGTACTTATTTACTTTGCGCGAAAGTACTATCACTGCTCTATCCTATGTGTACTTGATCACTGATTAAAAGTTTATATTCAGTGCAAACAATCATTTTCAGTCTCATCTTTCTTATTTTTAGGTAAATTGCTTCGAAAAAATCGGCAATAATGGCAATATGTAGTATAGTAAATAATAAAACAAAGATCCCCCCGCAATCTTTTTCTAAATCGAACATAAAATTGGAATTCTTGGACGAAAATTAATTGAATATACGAATTGGTTATATATGTATATAGGGAAAAATTAACTAATTGATCGGCTTGTATAATTAATTTCAAAGCTTAAATTTTATATGGTATCAGAAAAGCAATTGAAAATGGATTCTGAAAATTATATTAATTCGAGGTTGACAAAAAAGGAATACTATATCATCGTTGGATAAGGTAGAACGCAAAGTATCATCGGAAAATCAAAAAGACCAGGAAAACAAACTTTATAAGTAATACAAGGTAACAAATATAAAAAAAAAATCAAAACGACGATAATGTAATTTAACAAAAATGAACTAATACCGGAAACGCAAAAAAAATCCGGAAGACATTTTCCTGAAATTGTTCTCACATTGATCGTAGATTTGCGCTGATAGGATGATGATAATGATGAATGGTGGAAATACTGCGATAAACATTACTGATATCCATAGTGAACTTCGATGATAACAGCAAACAACAATCTTTCCTTTTTTTTAAAGCACGAAAAAATTTCCTGAAAATTTTAAAAAGTAAACGGAGGAAAGAAATACTAATTCTTCACAAATGTCAAATCAAGGGGCATTTTTCCCCTCTCTCATTACTATTATTATTATTACCATTATTATTGTTACTACTGTTACTATTACTATTACTATATTATTATTATCATTACTGTTATTATTATCATTTGTTATTATCATTATCATTACTATTATCACCACCATTATTACTATCATTGTCATCATTATTATTGTTGTTATTACTATTATTGTTATTGTCATTATTATTATCATTGCTATTATCATTATTATTGTTATTATTATCATTATTGTTATTATTGTTATTATTATTACTATTATTATTACTATTATTGTTATTATTATTATCATTATCATTATCATTATTATTATTATCATTATCATTATTGTTGTCATTATCATTATCATTATTGTCATTATTATTATTATTATTATTGTTACTGTCATTATTATTATTATCACTATTATCATTGTTACTTATTATTATTATTATTATTACTATCATTATTATTATCATTATTATTATTAGTATTATTATTATTAGTAGTATTATTATTATTATTATTATTACTATTATTATCATTATTATCATTATTATTATCATTATCACTATTATTATTA